CCAATCTATTGTTAGCACGAGACAGCCGGACCGAAACTGTGGACGCTGGTGCAGAAGTTGATGTGGCTTACCTTGATTTCTCTAAGGCATTCGACCAGTTGGACCATCGTATCCTTCTCGCCAAATTTCAAGGATGTGGCATTAGGGACCCTCTTTTACGGTGGATTTCTAATTTTTTTCTCTCACATAAGTCTAGTGATGAGAGTACGTGAATCCATGTCAGATCCGATCCGCATCGAATGCGGAGTGCCACATGGTTCGATATTGAGCCCCGTCTGTTTTTGGTCTTCATAAACGATTTAGTGACTCAACTTGTGTCAAACTGTTTACCCTACGCCGATGAAATCAAAGTTTGGTGAGTGATCAGAGCTCCAGAAGACCGTATCCAGCTTCAAATCGATCTTGACAAGATTTATGGATGGTCGGTCAAAAATCACCTTTCCTTCAATGTGGCTAAATGTCGAGTGCCCCATTTAAGACGCCGAATGGTACACACATAAAAGCTGGGGGACCAGGATTTGCAACACTGTTCTCTCGAAAAGGATCTCGGTGTGTTGGTTCGGGAAGATCTCGGCTGCTCGGAGCAGTCCAAAAAGGCATCGAAGAAGGGGATCCAAATGGTGGGGCTTTTACGGAGAGCTTCTGGATAATTCGAACCCAGGATTTTCCACCAAATACTGGCCGCTTATATACGCTCACACGTTAAATATGCAATTCAAGCATGGCCCCCAAGGCTAAAGCGGGATCTCACGGTCTTGGAACATCCACAACTACGGGGGACCAAAAATGTCTAGGGGCTGCGTCACGTATTATACGAACAGCGCCTCAGAGTGCTTGACATTTACAGCGGACGTTATCGCCTTTTGCTTGGCGGCCTAACCATGGTATACCAAATATTAGAGAACACTAAGCACCCGTGCCATCACCTATTGAAGCTGATCCACAACAGCCAAATGAGAGGTCATCATCTCAACTTGGCAGAACAATGCAGTCGGTTGGAGCGTCGAAGAAACATTTTCTCACTGCGTGTTTGCCACACGTGGAATACCCTCTCAGAAGCTGTTATTTCAGCCCCCACGTTAACCGTGTTCAAAGCATGTGTCGATAGTGCACTGGTCACACTACCCATTTTCACGTAATCCAAAAGACCCGTACAAACAGCAGAAAACCAAAAACAAACCAATCCACCTCCATTTTTGCACGGAAACCATAGACGATAACTTTGGATAGTACATAAAACGGACTGGAACGCTGTAGTTGGTAAGTTCGCAATTTGCAGTTGTTCACTATTTCCTATTGCCATTTTTGTCTTTATTTTGCCCACCCCTAACTCACCATTCGGTGGGACATATCAAGCTTCGACTTTTTTTTATCCACAATATACCATGGACCATTGATATAACAGTCTGACAAGTTTTCAGGGGCAACACCCCATCAAATGAGCACAAGAGAAGTCCACAAGCTAAACCCCATCAACTTGCTGGCAATGCGGAGATTTACACTATGTGAGATGATGCCCTTTCAGAAACATGTCCGCCAGAAGTGCCATAAACACGGACACAAGGAGACCCACTGCACGTCCAAAGTATCATTCAGACCAGCATACACTGCCCGAAGACAAGATCGCAGTACGTCTACAAGCAGGCACAATAGCTGAGGTGTTTTCCACCTCCAGCTAACGTGTAATGATAATGATGATGAAGGATAGGAGGAATTTTGTCATTATCAGTATCAAAGGCATCGGCCATCACTGTCATCTCTGAAAACTTGTGGAAGACTGTTGGTGCGCCTGACATTAAACCGACCGGCCAACAAGCGACAATCACACCAAGCACCAAATTGAATTTATTCGGTCAGATTGAATGTGTATGTCGCTTGGCCGACCTCACCGCTTGGGGGACATTTCCGCCACAATTCATGAGAACTTGAACCTACTTGGGCCAGATTGGATAGAACCTTTCAACTTTCTGAATGTTCCCATTAACCAGATTTGTACAAGAGCTCAGCCCCATAAACTCCATGCTATAAATGCCTTGCTTCCCCCGAGACGCACTATCCCACAACCAGGGCACCCTCAAGTAGAAAAGTATCACCATGAGCGACACAGAACACAAGCAAGTCAATTTTCCCCAGGGTAACGCATCTTGGTCAAAGACTATCGCATGGGAAGTCCTCAGTGGGTAATAGGATAGATCCGGAGAAGGTTGGGTCGAGTACTCCATGAGGTCAGAGTTGGTACTTTAATTCGGATCAGGGATGCTAATCAGCTGCGACCAACTAGTATGCCAGCAAGCCTTAGGAATCGACTGCTAGTGCTAGATATTCCACTGGAGAATTTTGATAGGCCATCAAATATTCAGAAGGCCTCGGATGCACCGCACACAGAAGTTGCAGAAGAGTCGGAAATGCAACCACTGCGCCGAACTGACCGAGTAAGAAGATCCATCATCAAAATGCCACTGGATCCAAGAAGGAAATCGTATGTTAATTTTCGCGGGGAAGGTGTTAACGGGGCAGGCACTCCTCTGTTAGCAGCCCGGAACAGTTGACTATGATGCAGGCAGAAGCTTATTGCTCAACCAATGAGAGCGGGCTAATGATGTCACTTCACTTTGAATGCTGTCAATTAGCTCGGTCTAGCTTGAGGCCCGCCAATGAGCGCCAGGCCATTCTCTTATTGAGCATTGCTTCGATCTCATTATGTGATTTGCTTATTCTGCTTGCCGGGTGCGTAATACACTTTCCCCGTTAGGCCTTCGTTTTCTAAGCTAGAAAATCGGCCAGTCAGCTTGCACACTAGCAGCAGGTTATTCGTACAATCAGCGGAAACCAAGACAGTCTAAAAGACTCGAAACAGCTCCGTCGATCGGTACCTCAAAGGCACTGAGGGAACTCAAAGATTAAGCTTGTGCTCATGTGTCTTAGCGAATGAATTGCCGACAACCTCCTTGTGGCGTACCAGCGAGTTGTTGGACTTACTTCAAAAACACACATCCCGTTACACAGCAATCAACAAGTGAATACACTGAGCGCATTACCGAAGATGTAGCGCAAAGTCTGGATGCATAAATCTAAATTAACCCTGAGCGACCGGTGTGCGTCTGTGAGTAGTCAAACCGGATATTTATAAAATTGTTCATGTACGTCATAATCCGGGAAACAAATGTAGGGTGGAAGTCTACGACTTGTTGACTGCCTCACAGGAACGCAACACTGGGGTGGTGATTTAAACTGTCCTCTGCTGTTCAGAGAAATCAGTGGTGTCCAGAAGTCGAAGCGAACAACCGTTTCTGTTATGGAGGACATTCCTGTGTTTTGACCCTTCCATGTTTCCACGGATGCTTAACGCGGATGTAAGTCCCTATTTAGAGGATGCCATTCAGGCCTGACACGGCAAGATTAAACGTGATCTGGCTGGACCCATGAATCCACAGTGAAGAGCAAAAAATGTGGGTAAGTTGTTCCATCTGCCATATGAAAGCCTTAGGATTGTATAGCGAGTTTTTGTCTTCTACGAGCCAACCTCATCCGGACGTATCAAACAGTGATAAACTGTCATATTTCTCACTACCACCTAAAACTTGGCCGCAGCAAGCAACTAAGGAGCGAACAGTTGGAACGCTGTCCAATACAGTCGGTTGTAAAGACACCGTGGCACGCTGTCCGAAATCACACCATTTCTGCACCCACTTTATCGGTTTAAAAATGATGGTGTTGGATTATAACCTTTACATTGTGTGCGAGGACTCCCATCCATCGGGTAGTGATGAAACGCAAACAAAAGCTGTGCTCACCACCCCCCCCCCCAACTTGTCTGAGGTTGACTAATTTACATGTGTGTCAACATGAATATCATGATTTCATAGATGTGCGATCTATATTGCCAGCGCGTTTTTTCGCTCTACGTATCCATTTCACACAGACCATCCTACGGAAAGTGTCGAGCTTTATTATTGTACCTTTATTATAACAATGACTTATGTTTCTAACATTAAAATATCTTTAATCAGGTTTCTATAAGATTATGGTTCCTTAACTCCCCGAATCACTGGCAGTTTTCTCCATTTACACCACCATTTACACCACCTGATAGGAGATGAACGCTTCCTGGCTATCATCCATTCCGTAGAAAGTTGGAACGACATTAGTGATGAAAGAATCGGTAGAAGTGAATTACATGCAGTCTTTACAACAGTCGTTATCATTTCAGTTAGAATTTTCTTCGTAACTTGTGTCGGACTAATGCCGCTGAGTTGTGTCACACCACGTTGAGAATATACCTATTACTATACATCACCCCTTTACTTCGATACGCAGTCCTTCGTTTAAACCCACCAAACTAAGTGGAACGCTGTGGATGTCCATAGTAATATTGGTGATAACCGAACCGTAAACACGGAAGCCCTTGAATAAGAGTAAATCGCTTCAGAAAAACAAGAATATTCAAACTTTAAACTGAAACATACATGTTTACATTCCACCTATCGGTGTCGGTCAAAATGCTATCAAGTCGTCAGTTCAAGCTTTTGCCAAAAGATTGTCAGTTACAGCGTGCCAGGGAATAACATAGAAATATTGAATTTGCATACGGAGCAAAGCAGTCCAACGACTGGGGCCTGACCCACACAACAGGTTACCAGTGTGAATGTATAGGTGAACATTTCATGTATACTAGGACGGGACCTTCTTTCCACAAGGGCATGCACATGCCAAAAAGCCCACACAGTATAGCTTTATTTGTGTCGGCTGGATGAGACGAATTAAGTAGTAGTACGTGTACAGATTAAGCTTAAATATGCAGATCGGAGATAATTATCTCAATTATAATTGTGGTGGCGAAAGATAGTTGAAGTGTATCAACAAACGTTAATTATCAACTTGGTACATGTGACAGGTAACTCTGTTACATATAAACTATTACTTTGAACTTTTTGCTGTTTGTTTAGGTCTGAATTCAGTATAAGTAGACATAAATGTGAAGAGAAACGATTTCAACTTACTGTTCTTTTGTATGTCTGGGCGCAATCGAGGACACCGTAGACTCTCTGGAGAATTTTTACCTAAAGGCATTGATTCAACGATGCGCATGATCAAGTGTTGATCAGCCCAGAGACTCAGCTGCCCTTCAGCCATGAGGATGGTCGAATGTTTCCATCGGACTAGACGTAAAACATCGAACGGGACCAACAGAAGAATCGAACAAACGTAGCGGTTCAAGGTCCAGCGAGAAAAAGTGGAGAGCAGCACACGCATCATGGTTTGAAGGGCAACCTGGATTGACGCACCAGAGTAAGTCAAGGAAAGCTTCCATGAGTGCCACAGCAAAATCAAGTGTGTGAAATGGAAATTCATCACAAATGTGAAAAACAAACACATAGACCTACTGCTGTAGGATAGTTCGAGTAATGGATGCTAATGAGTGGCTGAGTATTTATTTATTTATTTATACCATAAGCAGTAGACATCATCTTGAGACGAAAATCGGTAGACACAGATAAAAGGAATTGGGCAGTAGTAATGACTCATTTATTATGAATCTTGGTTTCCTATTCGGTAGGTGACACTGGTCCTACCTACATATGCATCCATAGCTGAAACCCGATCTTATTGCACTGGAGCAGCCACAACGCCGGGCATTTAAAAACGCAATTGGAATGCGCAATCTTTCCTACCAGGAGAGGCTGCGACGACTGGGATTGTTCAGTGGAAGCTATCGCAGACTACGAGGCGACCTTATTATGGTATACTTGATTCTGCGAGACCCACATCATGTGTGCCGCTCTTTACTGCTACTCAGCAGCAATACAAACCTGAGGGGCCACTCATTAAAACTCGCGGAACAATACAGTCGTCTGGCGTGCCGCAGAGATTTCTTTTCCATTCGTGTCTGTCACCAGTGGAATGCTCTCCCAGAATCGGTCATCTCTGCACCGACACTAACAGTATTTAAAAGACGGTTGGACGATGTACTCATCCACTTACACTTTGTTACTTAACACTATGTCTCCATCCTACACCTGGAGTTTACCATGGAATTATTTGTTGTTAACTGTGGATGCTGTGAATCTAAGAGGATCGTAGGACTGCAGCGAAGCAAACAATAAGTCCTTATTTTCATTTTTATAGTATTAACTGTTTTACTATCCTCATCATCATTATTGTTATGTTGATATCCCCTGCAACTATCCAACCGGACTTGTAAAGCAACGCTTCTTAACCCGTATAAATTCATTGTTCATTGATTTGGATTGGATTGGATTAAACCTAATCCGGAGCATCAAAGTGTCCGTGATTCAAAAGTTGTTTAGGAATTTGGCAAGGACTTTAGCATTCACTGGTGTGGTGGTGTTGTTTTACCTATTCCGTCGGATCGTGTGTTTATTGCGTCAATGTACATCGTTCCGGGACATTTACTTCTATGAACTCAATTCGCAACAGTAGGAGACCGTTTAGTTCTAACTCCGAGAAACGCAACAAATTCAAACGAAACATCCACCGCAACATTTAACGATACGTAGTTTACTAGCGAATTTGAATAACTTCTGCTGTGACCCTCGAGTTTATCATTTCCTACACTACCGCAATATGTGGACAAAACGAGGGGATACATTGGATTATAATAAGTTACCTCATGCTCGATGTTTTTCACGGTCTTCGAACTATGTTGAATTTATGAATTAATACTTAAAGGGGTTGTACAGAAAATTACAAGAGGTAAGCAGACGCTTCAACCGGTGCACCCGTGGTTAGATGACGTTAACTGTATCCTCGTGTTAACCTCGGGCGTTTAAGGTGAAAAATACGTGGTTTCCGGTGTGGAAATCTTATAGAATGGCGAGTTTATAGCAGTTGGTCGACAATACGTGCATACTCAATGGAAAAATTATACGAGCAAATGATTCAATGCTTAACAAGCCTATAGCATAGTCGAGGTGGCCATAGTAAAACCAATGAAATACGCGTCAGTTATATTAAGTGCGTGTTGTTGAACACAAGAGTTTTTCATGAAAACAATTACAAATCCAGCTGGTCAAAAATTGAGAATGCAGGTTCATTGGCAGTGTAAAGTCGGCCGATGAAATAAATGAGCAATGTTACCCATTGCTAGGTTAAAATGATGTAGGTTTCTCGCTGACCACCCACGAACACAATCCAGGTCATGTTGGATTAAATCATTGGCTTTATTGGTACTATTCACTCGGCGTATGTTGAAATAACTAGCGAGAGGCAAAAAGTTCGAGACCATAGCGCTTTGCAATATCCTTGATGAAGATTAAGTATAAGTGTGTTACCAGTACCGAACCCTGTAGAACATCACTCTGACCTCGATTTGAACTCATACACATGCAGCCTCTGCTGGTGAACTAATTTACCAATCCAGCTAGGGGTATGGTTTCGATTCCGTAATTCTGCAACCTGCGAAGCAAGATACCGTGGTCTAGGAGGTCTAAGGTTTTGGAAAAGTCCAGCTTGATGACATTGATCCAAATCTACCCATCGCAAGTTTCCATTCAACTACTTCGTGCCATCAGTAGTTTGGTGGTGCATAACGGGTGGTGAAACCAGCCGTGCAGCTCAGGTGACCTAAAGCTGCACTTTTCCAGGCAGTTTATCAAGACCTCTGTGAAAATTGCTGCCGTCACATTCGAGGGCACAATTTGGAGAGCTAATGGGTGATAGTTCACAGCGTCCGCACAACTGCCACCATGAAAACAGGGGCAATAGTATCCTGCCATTACATAGTCGGAACGTTTTACTCATTTACGCACCTTCGGAAGAATAGCGATTGCATCGCGGTGAGCTTTGTAGCAACAATGTCTAGTGCTTTTGGGTAACTATCATTTGCTCCAGTGGCATTGTGAGTAGGCAGCAAAAGCAAATCCTTCACCATTACTGTACTGAGGAAAACTTGCAAATTTTTGAGTCAGTATAATTGTTGGTAGGGGCACGAAGTTGCACGTTCGAGCGTCGGGGAGTAATGTATCCGCGTAGCATTGGCTACCTTGTAGGCTCTTTTGTCTTGCCGTTTGTAATGACTAGTAGAGGAATACAACGCTTTAGCTTAAGTAAGCTGTTGCTATTGGTCTGCAGTAGCTTGTCGCTGGCCTGAAACATTTAGCTAGGCCCTTCTGATTGGTAACTTTTCCTCACGGACATTCGCAGGTCAAACGAAAATCCGTTTGACGCTAGTGGAAGCTAGAAGCGATAAATGACAAGCATTAACCGGAGACCACACCAGAGTGAGTCTAAGACCGGATCGTTCAGCTGCTGACGGTGCAGGTCGCTGCGACATTATAGGAGGACCCCACCTTCCTTTCTAAGACGGTCACTCTCAGATAAGTGATTATCTACTATCCCAACTTTTAGCATCAGCACTCTCTGGATGCAGCCAGGCTTAATTGGTAAAAATGTGACCTAATGTACCTTCAACCTGACGTAGTCAAAAGCCGACAAGTTTTCAAAAGGGCCCCGGACAAATGTAAAGAAACACGAAGATCCCTAAGATTTTGTAAATCGGTAAGCCATCACACAAGAAGTTTATCAAGCTTGTTGGGAAAGCGCGTAGGAATTCCTCATGTCACAATATTGAGTTAAAGTGTAGGTGTTTTGGTTGCAAAATTGCACCGACCGACAACTTCCTCGACCTGAGCAACCGGGAAGCTGGCTGCCCACGCAACACATGAGCCCTCATAACCTTTTCGCCGACTGTTCCTTTTCCTCCTTTTTGTTGTTTTTACTCATGTGTTGTGGCACACTGCTAGTTGTTTATAGGCCAAGTGTTAAATACATACGGACCGACATACCGTCCGCCACGAATTACTTATTAACTAGAGCACTGACGAATTGCTATGTGCCAAAGCTAGCGATCCCGTAAGTGGCCCCTCGAGTAGCTCCTTGTATGTGACGTAAGGAGTGTGGTCACCTCCTTCGGAAGCTGGTAGAATAATGTTATCCGACCCTCAGTTGGCAGATGGTTTAAACATAAGCCCCGTTTCGCTTGTTCGTTTGGACAGAGCCGTCTTAAGCAGAGCGGAGAGGATGGTACGCTGTGAACACATACCCCCATTCAAAAACTTTCGCTAACATCTCTCCGGGTTGAAACTGGAATTTCCTTATCTCTTGGCATCATCTTTTGGAAATCGGTGAACTAAGCGATTTCGAGGTCGGTTGACCTGCGACAGCGTAGCAGAAATTTAACTTTGTTGCCTCTAGTTGTGGGTTGTTTTTCCGCCATCACTATGCCCTCCGGCTTCGAGGACAAAGTGAACCAAGATGGTTATATCTACGGATTCCTTCCGATAGTCTTCCAAGCTATGTTTGACAAGTTACGATCGCTCTGGGGCGCATTCGAGGGATTCTTTCGTGATCTGATGGTGAAACACCAAACAGTCTGTGGTTGTATGCAACGGAAAAGTGTGAGTCGAACTGATAAACAATCTTTGGCAGAAAATAAGCGGAAGTGTTCCCTTGATTGGCCACCTGCCTTGAGTAAATGGACGCAGCCCCATGTTCACAAAAACACGCATCATCCATGCGCAGAAAAAGCATATAATATATACATAACCCCATATTATGACGTCTGACAATGCCAAATGCAAAGCACTCCGAACGGAACAAAGAACGAAACACGCGCGGAGAACTGTTCTGAAAACTGGCATGCGTGAGCTAACAGAATATACAAACATCGATGGATCAATCAATAAATCACATGAAAGGACATAGACAACGAACGTATAAGCTATGTATAAGCAGCAGTCTGTTGGATAAACATAGAGCCAACCAAAACCATGAAAGCACTAGAAGAAGACAGGTCTACTCAACCCCTCAACATCATAGCACATTAGCTGAGGTCAGCAAAACAATTCAGCTATCATGCTGCAATAAAAGAAAAACCTGAGCCTTTTTTATTTTGCATACGTCATATTTTCATTTCTTGTCTTTTTTCAATTGTTAAGCATTAGGAATTTTAAGCTAAACAATTATGTACACAGATCCTCCGCTGGTTTTGACTGCGTGCCATATCCTGAATTGCTTCCAGCCATCGGCACTCTTCCTGCTATGGTCCCCAACCGGGCAGACGTGAAGACCCAACGGTGGCAAGACGTGAAGTCAACGATTTCATATGTTGCAGCCAGGTGGACCGCTGACAGCCATGTGGTCCTTTCCATCTAACTCCTGCACGAGAGAAAGGGACGCAGTGGGGCAAACGCTTAGTTGACATGTGCAGGACGTGACTGAGCCATCATAACTGGTGCAGCAAAGTCAACTTA